AACGACGCTTGCTCGCCCCCGGCCTGGCGGGGCCTGGTGGGGGTCACCGCGTCTGGCATGTAGGCCACTTCATCTTCTGTGCCCGCTGCGGTGCGCACTCGAGCGAGAGTGCGCAGCTGCTGGCGCAGCCTTGCCACGGCGGAGTGCCCCCCCTGAGACGCGCACGCGTTTGGACCGTCTCTGGGAGGGCCTCCGCCCTCGCACTGGGCGGCCGCTGCTGCCGACTGACAAGGGTCAGCTGAGGCCACGCCCCTTCGGCGAGGCCGTCATCGACGCCACCTTCGGGGGCCTGGCCGTGGTCGATGACGATCGCGCCGAGTAGGGGTGGCCTCCTGACCCGTCCTCGTGTGGCACTCCTTCTGGAGGTGCCCGAGGCCTTTCCTTCTTGTCAGGCGTCTGCCTGAGTCTGCTTGCGTCGCCTGCGCACGCTTGTGGCCCCGTCTGGATCAACTCCTCCGCCTTCTCCTCCTCCTGCGCCTCCTCCTCCTCCTCCTTCCCCTCCTCCTTCTCACATGTTCTCCTGGCCTTCCTCCTCCTCCTGCCCGGAAGAAAAGCTCCCCGCTCTATCCCCCCCCTTTCCCCCTTGTCCTCATCCTCCCCCCTCCCCCCGATGTGCCAGGACGTGCTTGCCCACGCTAGGCTGGGCGTTTGGTTTTGACCTTTGGGCCGACTCCGTCCTCCTCCCCATCCAAAACGGAGATCTCGGCTCTCTCCCGACCTTCCTCCTCCTCCTCTCCTTCTCGTCCTCCTCCTTCTCCTCCTTCTCCTCCTCCTCCTCCTCTCTTTCTCCTCCTCCCTCTCAACCTCCTCCTCCTCTCCTTCTCGTCCGTCCTCCGTCTCCTCCTGCTCCTCCTCCTCTTTCTCCTCCTCATCTCCTCCGCCTCTCTGCCCCTTTCATCCCTTGTTTCCCAAACACCGTCCTCGTCTCCTTTCATCCTCCTCCTCATCCTCCTCCTCCTCCTCCGTCATCATCATCATCATAATCTTCATCATCTTCATCAGCATAATCATTCTTCATCAGCAATCCTCATCATGCATCATTTCAGCAGCAGCAGCATCATCAACATCGCATCAGCATCAGCATCGCATCATCATCATCCTCGTCGCTCCTTTTGCTGCCTCCATCCTTCTCTCCTCCTCCTTCCTCCTCCTCCTCCGCTCCTCCCCCTTCGTCCTCCCCCCACTCGTCCCTCCTCCTTTATCCTACTTCTCCCCCTCTTCCTCCACTCCTCCGCTTTCCTCTCTCCTCCTCCTTCTCTCCTCCTCCTACTCCTGCCTATCGTTCACTCCTCCTCCTCCTCACTCCTTCTCCTCCTTCTCCTCCTCTCCTTGTTATCCTCCTCTCCATTTTCATCTTCCTCATCCTCCCTCATCCTCCTTCCTTCTCCTCCTCCTCCTCCTCTTTCTCCTCCCCCTCTTCCTCCTTGTCCTCCTCCTCCTCCTCCTCCTCCTCCTCCTCCACAAGCCTACATCAGCAGTGGCGTCGGCAGTTCCGCGCCGTGGAGAGGCTCCGGCACGTGCCTGCAGCAGCTGACCCACTGCAGGTGGCATGCCGCCAACGTCACAGGTTCCGCAGAGAAAGGCGACTCTTGAGAATCAAGGGAAGCACTATTCGACGCCAAGGCTACATGTTCCCATCTGTCGCTCTCCTCCTCCCCACTCCCCATTGCCCACCGCCCTCCTCCACATCTATCATCCTCCTCGCCGTTCTTTTCCTCCCTTTCGCCCCCACTCCTCCCTCCTCTTGCGGAGCCCAGGCGAGGGCCCCGATGGCAAGGGGCCCTGCAAGTCCGACAAGGCGGTGGCCTGCGCGCCCTCCGTCGCCTTCGGCGAGGAGCTCGCCGTTCGACCCCCCTCCCGCGCCAGTCTCTCGTCCTCCCCCTCCTTGCCCCCTCCTCGGGGTAAACACATGTCATATAAGATAAGTGTTTTGGAGATCCGCTCGGGTTTCTCGCATCGGCGATGGGCACCCCCCTCCCTGGCGGCGCCTCGGGCGCGCCGGGGGCGGCGCCAGAGGCGCCCCCGGTGGGCTCCGGTACCGACGCAGAAGACATCCGCGCGGATCTCCGAAGATGTTTCTCTTGATGCTGTGTCTGTTTGGGCTCCGACCTCTCCCCCCCCCCCTCCCTCCCCCATGCCTTCAGGCTGGGGAGGCTGCGGCCCGGCCGCGTCTGCACCGAGCTTGAGCCTTGCGGAGGAGCGCTCCCCCCCCCCCCATCCGCAACTCTTTTTTCCCCTCCCCCATGCCCGCTCCACCCCTCGCCTTCTCCGTCCTCGTCGTTCCCCGTCCTCTCCCCCTGCCCTGCCCCCTCTCCTCCCTCCCCGGGCCCCCTGTCCATCCCTTCCCTCCCCCGTCCTCATCCTTCTTCCCCCTCCGCCTTCTATCTCCCCATCGCCTCCCTCCCTCCTCGCCCCTCCCGCCCCTTCTGGTTGGCGGCCGCCTCCTCCTCGTCGTCGTCGGTGGGTGCGTGCTTCAGCGGGCTTCGGCCCAACGGCTTCCCTCTCGACCCGTTTTTGTTGCTGTTCGGGGGGAAGGGAGGCACGCACATGCAAAAATGAAGCAGGCTCCATCGTGCTCATCCTCCACATCTCTCCCTCGTCCACCCCATCCCCCCAATGCAACGCGGTCCTCTTGCCCCCCCCCCCTCAAGCTCGGCCTCCGCCGTTTTGCCTTTGGACGACCCGCTCTGCGCTCTACTTGCTTCCCGTGGAGGGACAATAGACGGAGGAGGCCATGTTGGGTGGATCCATAAAGGGGAGAAAGGAGGATGCGGCGATGGCAACGGCACAAGAGGAGAAGGATGAGGATGAGGACGAGGAAGGGAAGAAGGATGAGGACGAGGAAGAGGAGGAGGAGGGGGAGGAGGAGGAGGAGGAGGAGGAGGAGGAGGAGGAAGAGGAGCAGGAGGAGGAGGAGGAGGCGGTGAACGAGGAAGGGAAGGAGGATGAAGACGACGAGGAGGAGGAGGAGGAGGAGGAAGAGGAGGAGGAGGAGGAGGAGGGGGGAGGAGGAGCACACAAGAGGATGATGAGGAGCATGATGAGGATGCTGATGGTATCGCGCTGACGCGAATTACGTAATGACAAGGTCTGGGAGCGGGGGGAGGGGAAGGAGGGCGAGGAGCAGGAGGAGGAAGCCCCCCCTACTCCGCTTGCTCACCTCTCGCTGCGGCCACAAGTGCCCCCATGTGCGGCACCGAAGCGCCGCCGCGCTGCCCGATGGCTAGCCAATCACCGCCTGGACGGTGGCGCTCACGCACGCGCTTGCTTTCCTCCTGCTGCTGCTGCTCCCGCTGCGCCCCGCCACCTCCCCATCCTCCGCCGAACTGGCCCTGTGTTCCTCCTTCCCTCCTCTATCCTCCATCGCCTCTTCCCTCCTCCCTCTCCTCCCCTCGCCTCCCCCCTCCTCCCCCGTCCTCCACTCGCCTCCACCTTCCCCCTCCCCTCGCCTCCTCGCCTCCTCCCCCCCTCCCTCCACTCGCCCCTCGCCCCCCCTCTCCCCCTCCCCCCCCGCCCGCCCTTGCTCGCTCGCTCACTCGCTGGCCTCCCCCCCCCCGCCCCCCCTGTTCCTCTCCCGTCGGCCTCAGTTCTCCGTGTCGCCGATCGGCAAGCCCGCCGCCTCGGACGAGCCCGCGGGCGCGCTCGAGACCCAGGCGCCGGCTGGACGAAGCGCGGGGCAATTCCAGGGGGGTGGGCGCGCCTGAGCATCTCAGGGGGGCGCCCGGGGAAGGGGCAGGGGACGAGGAGGCTCGCCCTCTCCCCTCCCCCGCGCACCTCGGGGCCCTGGGGCAAGCGGGGGTCCCCACGCTCCTCCGCCCCCCCCCCCCCCCCCCTCCCCTCCCCCATCCTCCTCTTTCTCTTTCTCCTCCTCTCCTTCTCCTCCTTCCTCCTCCTCCTCCTCCTCCTCCTCCTCCTCCCTCTCCTCCGACTCCTCCTCCCCCTCCCCCAAATGCGCGTGAACGTGTGCGTGTGGTCGCCACGAGCTTGCGTCAGGAGGTGCGGGCGCAGGGGGGCGGGGAGAGCACGGCGGGGAGGAGGGCACCCCACGCGAGCTCGCGTCTGCGCGCGGCCTCGGGCGCGCCGGCGAGGGCCTCGTCAGCGGCGAGCGAGCGAGGCGGGCGGGGAGGAGCTGGAAGGGAGGAACGGGGGAGGCGGAGGTCGACACATGCTTTCCCTCTCCTCGCCCTCTCTCGCTTTCTCTCTCTCTCTCTCTCTCTCTCCCTCTCTCCCTCCCTCCCTCCCTCCCTCCCTCCCTCCCTCTCTCTCTCGCTCTCTCTCTCTGTCTCGCTCACTCCTGGTTTTTCCGATGGAAAGGCGAAGTCCATGGCGGGGGCAAGAAGGCTGCGAGGTTTCGGAAGCAGCAGCCGGATTACCAATGGTGCAAGGAGGCGTCATGCAGCAGCGCGCTGTCGCAGGAGCACCGCATGTTTGCACCGGCTAGTGGAAAGTATCACTTGCGTGCGCAGTGCAAATGTGGGTCAATATACGTGCACCCGCAAAGAAGCCACAGAGTCACAGAGGGTGTATTGAACGTTTCCCGAGGAGGTTATATCGTATGAGATATGACATGTGTCTGAACTCATTTGTTCATTCCTGCCTGCATTCATATGCACACGCATGCGCACATGGCCGCGCAGCACCGCAGGCTGTCCTTCACGCCTTAGTTGTTACGTTGTGGCATCTTCTGTGCCCCTGGCCTGACACAGCACGCAATGCAATGCACGGCCGTGGAGGGCCGCGGAGGAGGAGGAGGAGGAAGAAGACGAGGATAATGGAGGAGGGCTATGAGGAGGAGGAGGAGGAAGACGAGGAGAAGGAAGGAGGAGGAGGAGGAGGAGGAACATGAGGAAGTCGAGGAGGAGAGAGCAGGAGCGAGCGAGAGGACGGAGGAGCCCAGTGCGCGGCTGGTGTGGGGGCTCCTCGTCCGTGCTCTCCCTGTCTTGCCTCCCCACCGTCGGCGAATCGCAGGGCTGCCTCGCAAGTTCTTGGTCACATCTATATCTATATATAATATTATATTTGATATATGCATCTTCATATGTATATATATATATATATGTATGTATGTATATACATATGCATACATACATACATACATACATACATACATACATACACACACATACATACACATACATACATACATACATACATACATACATACATACATACATACATACATACATACATACATACATACATACATACATACATACATTACATACATACATACATACATACATACATACATACATACATACATACATACATACATACATACATACATACATACATACATACATACATACATATATATATATATATATATATATATATATATATCCCTCTTCCTATATTTTTACAAGCCCGGGCGGGGGGAAAACCCGTCCCCCCCCCCCTCAAAACGGGACTCCCGGGATCTGGGGCTTTGGGACCCTCCGGACGGGCCTCGAAGCGGCCACCGGGCCTCGCAGGGCGTTTTGCCAAGCCCTCCCAGCACACCTAAGGCGATCAGGGGGGTCATCAGAGACGTCCCAGAGACCCCCAAGACAGCACAAGAGCGCTCCAAGAGTGACCGACGTGACCTCAAGATGGCCCAACAGGCCTCCAGGACGTCCCCAAAGAGGCCTCCAAGAGCACTCCCAAGAAGGCCCCCCGAAGCAACAATCATTGATTTTCTGTGGGTGTTTGGTGAAGTTGAGGGTTCTTCTCTTTTCGGCTTCCCGACGCTCCAAGACGGCGGTCTTCTGGGCGTCCGAAGCCGCCTGGAAGGCTCCAAGACCGCCCCACAACCATCCGAAAGGGCTTCCAGGCAGTCCAAGAGGTCCCCAAAACGGCACAACACGGGTCCAAGATGGCCCTCAGAGAGCCCCATGGCGGTCCAAGATGGCCCAAAGACACCCTCCGAAGAATTCCAAGTCGTGATTCGGTCGTTTAGGGAGACCGCGGTTGGAGGCAGGGTGGCCCGAGGAAGCCCCCAGAGGCCCCCAGAATACGCCCAGGAGGCCTCCAGAAGGCCTTAAGAAAGCCTGAAACAACTTTTGTGACGCCCCTAGAGGCTTTCCAAGGAGGAGCCTTCGCAAAAAAGAGCTGAGGAGGATGGGGAGAATGCGCAGGGTATGGCGAAAAAACCGAAAAAGAAAGATGGAGGAAGGATTACGAATAACATTAGTATAGCGGCGATGCCGGAGAAAGCAACCAGGAGTGAGTCATCGTTAAATTGTCGGCTGGACCTTCCTGCAATTCCGCCTGCACACCAAACTTCAGGGACCAAGGTGCATGGCGCGAAGCGCCACTGCAGTCTTGTATATATATATATATATATATACATGTATACATGTGTGTATATCTCTCTCTATATATATATTCATACATATCTAGATCTACATATATATATATATAGATATCGCATCGATTTCACACCTGGGGCTGCTCCTCGGCCCGCAGCAGGCCTCCGGGGAACTGAGGTCCCAGCAAATCTGGCCGCCCCCCACTGTCTTGTCCAGCGTTCTGCGAAGCGAGCGCGCAGGACAGCACCCACCAGCCCATCAGCCAATGTTCAGCAGCCTCGACCTCCAGAGGTCTCCAGAGAGGGAGGACGAGCCGAGTCGAGTCGAGTCGAGTCGGCGTCGAGGGGGCTCGAAGGGAAGCCTCGCAGGGAGCCGTGACGCACCGCCTGCCTGCCTGATGACGGGAAGGGGGAGGCGAAGACGGGGCAGAGTGAAGAGGGCCCCTCCTCCTCCTCCTCCTCCTCCTCCTCCTCGCCCCCTGTGGAGGCAACAGCCTCTCGCGACGGGGGGGGGCGACGCACGCCGCGGAGGAAGAGGGGGGGAGAGGATGCAGGATGGAGGAGGGGGGAGGCAGGATGAGTAGGCGAACGCGACGAGGCGAGGAGAAGTAGGAGGAGGAGGAGGAGGAGGAGGAGGAGGAGGAGGATGGGAAGGCGAGGATCGGGCTCGTCACGGTGCGGAGGGGGCGGGGGCAGGGGCGGAAGACGTTGATGAGGACGACGGGGTGGGAGGGTGAGGCCGAGAACGGCGAGGAGGAGGAGGAGGGCGATGCCAAGGGGCGAGGAGGAGGGCAAGGCCGCGGAGGCCGAGGACCCAGCATGGATCCAGCACTGCGGCGGATCAGGATCCGGCGAGCCAGCTGCCGCCCGAACGAAGCCGCGGTCCGCGGAGGAGCGGGACGAGGAGGCCGAGGAGAAGGCGGAGAGGAGGGGGGGTGGTGGTGCTCGGGTTCAGGCGCCCACCGCGGACCTCCAGCACTCGGCCGGCGGCGAGGCCATCTCGGCGCAGCCGGGCGACGCGGCCGGCATGGCGGCGCCCTCCTGGCCCTTGCAGGGGAGGAGAAGGGAGGCGAGGGAGGGTGCAATTGAGGAGGCGAGGGAGGAGGAGGAGGAGGAGGAGGAGGAGGAGGAGGAGGAAGAGGAGGGCCAGTGCGAACCCATGACTCATCAACGATTTGCATTACCTCCCCCCCTCCAAGTTCCCTCTTCAGATACCGCCACGAGGATATATTTTCACTGGGGGAAGTGCGCCGTGTGAAGACAACCGTTTGAAAATCCGGAACTGCACCAGAGCAAAATCCCTGGGATGCCAACCTCGCGAATCACCGTTATTGTTGCTTTTGGGCGATGTTGCTTCGTGCCAGATCACCATTATTGGGTTCTTTACGCCGCGAATCAACGTGACTGACGCGCCCTAGCATTCCGACTTCGTGCAAACAGACCATCGTGCTGACCATGATAACCCTTGAAGCGGCTGCGAACTCTTAAGCCGACTGCGCGCGGTTCTAAGGCGAGAGCCACACGTTGAACACGGCCCGCCCTCCATCCGGGATGTTTTTGTAAATCTTTCAAAGTATTGTGCGCAGCGCTACGGCGAGAGCCACATGTTGAAGGCGGACGCCTTCCATCCATGAATCTCCTGCAAAGTGTCAAGACGAATGTGCTCGGCGAGAAGGCGTAAGCCACATAATGAAAACGACCCACCATCCATATAGTGAGACTCTTGCAAACTCTGAGTTCAGCCGAATGTGCTCGGCGCTGAGGCGAGAGCCACGTGTTGAAAACACCGCCCTCTATCCGTGAAGCCCTTGAAAGGCGTTAAGACGAATGCACGCGGCGCTGAGGCGAGGGCAACACTTTGAAAACGGCACGCCCTCCATCCGTGAAGCTCTTGGGAACTGTAACGGCGAGTGTGCACCAAGGCGAAGGCCACATCCCGAAAGAGGCCCGCCCGCCATCCGCGAAGCTCTCGCAATGTTTTAAGTTTCGGGGTCACAGTCGTGAGCAATTCGTCGGGCGAAGCCACGAGCCCGCCCTCTCGATCGTCCTCTGGGTGTGAGGAAGAGGGAATGAAGGAGGGGGAGGCGGAGAAGGGGAGGAGGAGGAGGAGGAGGAGGAGGAGGAGAAGGAGGAGGAGGACGGGGGGGGGGGAGGAGGCGGAGCAGGGGGGAGGACGGCGCAAAAGCGAGAACCGAATGGTGCCAAGCCGCGTGCAGCCCATCCGGATGGCGATCGCGGGTTGTGTATAAGACGAGTGCGCGACCTTGCCCGGCGTGCGTGCGAGCGCCAGCTATCTGATACGCCCCACCCTGCATCCTCAGCTCAGGAGGGGAAAAATCAGACACAATGAATCGTCCACTCCCAGGAAAATATGGGAAATATGGGCAGTGGGGGGGAAGACAGAAACCCAGAAAATATTGGAAAAGATTGGGAATCCTATTATTTGTGTGTATTTATTTGTGTGTCCCAGGGCCCCTTCATCAGCTCCGGGCTTCAGGACCACACCTCGTGAGGCGGTCTCATGCGAGACGCCCGTGCCGACCTGCCGGGTCGACGGGGAGGACTGGTGTGAGAAGGGAGAGGGGCGAGACGTGCGCAGGAGGATGTCACCAGGAGGGGCGAGGAGGCACGGAGGGGGAGGAAGAAGGAGGGGGAGGAGAAGGGCGACGTCGTCGTCGTATTCGACGTCGCCCTCGTCCTTCCCTCGGAGGGGAGGAGGGGGGAGGAGGAAGGAGGGAGGAGGAGGAGGAGGAGGAAGGAGGGCAATCAGAGGAGGCGACGACAACTCGAAGGTGAGGAGGAAGCGGCGGGTTGGACGAGATGGCCTGCCTCCTCTGTCAGCACGGGCTCCCTCCTCGGATCAGGGAAGGGGGTCCCGCTTGAGAGTTCCTTGCGGTTCAACTCACGCACGAGGCTCCCGTTCGAGAGTTCTTCCATACCCAGGCCGCGAAAAATCTCAACGCGACGATGACCCGCTTCGGACTCGAACATGAAGTGCGAGCCCCATATGGAAGGGGCTCCCGCTTTAGCCCTCCTCGCGATTCGCTCACAGACGGGGTCCCCGCTCGAGGCGTCATTGGCGTGAGTTTATGTGTGTGGGCGATGATAACGATTATGATCGTGATGACGATGACGTGAATATGACCGATGATGATGACGATGGGGTGACGATAGCGATGAGGTAACGACGATGCTTGTGATGATGTGATGATGACGGCGATTCTGATTGTGGTGTTCGTGGTGACCGTGGTGAGTAGGAGTACGCTGATGTTTGTGACGGTCATGGTGGCGATGAGGATGATCATGATGATGACGGTGGTAATTTTGATGTTGGTGATGATGTTGAGGAGCAGGAGCGGAGAAGGAGGAGGAAAAGAGGGGGTGAAACCTCCTGCGCGGGGGGCGTCCAGAGAAATCAAGGACCCCACTTTGGATGTGTGTAGAAAACGGGCTCCTTTCCGTCGAGCCTCTCTTCGCGGGCACGGGCTGCTTTCTGCCATGGCAGCTCCGCGCCTTCGCGTCGCCCGCGCGCGCAGGGGGACTGCCTGACCGCCGCTGCCGCAAACCAGCGATTGCCCGACGACAGCCCCGTGGGGCGGCGCCCCTAGCCACGACGACGACGACGGCCACGACGGCGGCGGCGGCGGCGGCCACGCGGATGACAGCGGTGGCGACAATGAAGTGGGCAGTGGCGGCGGCGGCGGCGACTGCGAAGTGGCGAAGTGGCCGCAACGACGATGACGAAGACGACGACGGCGACGACGACAACGACGACGACGACGACGACGACGACGACTACGACGGGCTCTGAGGTTGGAAAGCGCGTCTTCTGAGAACGCTCGGAGGAAGTCAGGGGGGGTGCGACCCGTCCCGCCCTCAAAAGTCCGGGGGCGGTGATGCGAACCACGGTCTACAGAGTGCAAGTCGTGGGGCGGGGGGGAGCGTACGCAGGGGTCGCTCTATCTCTCGCTCTCTCTCTTTCTCTGGGGGTTGGGTTGGCCGCCCTCTGCCTGGCCAGGCCCCTAAACGGGGCCCCGTGGCCGTTGCCGAACCACTCCGCCCAGGGACCGCTTCGGGGGAAGGCCCCTGGGGTGTATACGCCCCTGGGGTGTATACGCCCCCGCTGGACAAGCAGCGCGACCTTGTGCAGGTCGTGCCGTGGAATCCCGCAATGGGGGACTTCCCTGTCATGGGCCTGTCTTCCACCACCGCCACCACCACGAGTTGGAGGGAGGAAGGAGGTGGAGGACGAGGAGGAGGACGAAGAGGAGGAGGAGGACGAGGACCCCCTCCTCCTCCTACTTCTGGTGGTGGTGCTGGTGGAAAACGAGCCCACCATCCCTGGGGGTCGCGCTGCGTCGCGGGCCCGTCCCCGACGGCCCGGGGGGGCCGAAGGCGGCCTCTAGAGGCCAACATTCGACAAGCGAGCGACGGCGACGAGCGGCCTCCCGAGGCCAACATTCGACAAGCGAGCGACGGCGACGAGCGGAAGCGAGCGACAGGCGAGCGACAGGCGAGCGACAGGCGAGCGGCACGGGGCGGGAGCGGTCGAGCGCCAGTCGGGCTGAAGGCGGGGCGCGCCGAAGAACATTGGGGCACGGAGCCTCCTCCTCCTCCTCCTCCTCCTTCTCCTCCTCCTTCTCCTCTCTTGTTCCTCCTCCTCTTCTTCCTCCTCTTCCTTCTCCTAATCCTTCTCCTCCTCCTCTCTTGTTCCTCCCCCTCCTCCTCCTCCGCCTCCTCCTCCTCCTCGTCCTCCTCTTCCTCCCCCTCCTCCTCCTCCTCCTCCTTCTCCTCCTCCTCCTCCTCCTCCTCCTCCTCCTCCTCCTCCTCCTCTCCCTGACCCTGCCCCCAAGATGGCCCCAGTAGGTCGAGCATGCTCTCGACAGCGGCCAACAAGCCTGAGGAGAAGGGGGGAAGCGGAGCGGAGGCGAGGACGGAGCCGCTCGCATCGTGCAGGACCGGGCGGCGGAAGCAGGGTCTTACCAGCGGCTGGTGAAGCAGTGGCACGGCGCTTTCCGGGGCGGCGGAGGGCGCCCCGCTCCCACACGGAGAGGGGGGGGGGCGGGGCGCAGTGCGCCGATGCGCGTGGGCAGTGCAGTGGGGGCGCGCATCTCAAGAAGTCATGTGCTCGCCGTCGGAACGTGATGGGTTCCATCGCTCCGTGCCCTGCGCGGTGGCTCCCCGCAGCCGTCAGGAAGCTGCCGCGCTCCAGATGCTCCGGGCTCTCTCTCTCAGGTGTAACTCGCGCGCGGGTGCTCAGGGTTGAGTTTCCTGCGATGGTGTCTTGCGACCGCGCTTGCACTGTAGTTACCCTCAGGAGCTCAGCTCCAGAACTGCCCCCCCTTTTCATCTCCTCCTTCCTCCTGTCAGCATCGTTTAACCGACCCCTACCTCCATATCCCCACCCCCATCCAGACCTCCACCATCTCAGTACCCCAGTTGGGGATACACCCCTACATCCTATCCCTATCCCCATGCCCATCCACACCCGGAGGAAACGGCCTATATCCCCATCTAGGGGGGTATGTCGATCAGTTGGGCCCAGGCCATGCCCATGGGCATAGGGGTCTGCGAAGCGATCTTCATCAACTCCTCCTGCCTCCCCGCCCTCGTAGAGCATGGAAAAAGAACGCCAGGGGCGTTTCCCCCCCCCCCCCCCTCTCGTTTTCACAATCGACGTTTTTTTCGGTTTTTGGGGTCGCCCCCCGCGTGCCGAGACGTAAGCGGAGCCTCCTCTCTGCCCGACGTCGGTGGCCGTTTTGGGGTCCGGCGCTCGGACGACGTTGAGCCACGGCTGGGCGCAGCTGCTGGCCCTTGCGACGAACGAACAACACACACCCATACCCCTAGGGGGGGGTCGTTGGGAGGAGGACTGGCTATGGGCATGGGTGCTGGTTGTCGGACCCTGGGGAACGCTCCCGTTCGAGCGGGGACCCCCGCTCGACAACACGCACCCATGGCCCTCTCCGACCCCCCCATGGTGTGGGTGTTTGTTGTTGTTTCGTCAGCCTTGGGCCGAGGGCCCTCGACGCCGCGCGGCGGCGGGTCCGCGGGGTCCCGGACGGGCGTGGGCTCCGCGGCTCGCGGCTGGCGCTTGCAGGCGCGGGCGGGCTCTCGAGCTGGAGGAGGCGCGAGGGCGGGTGGCAGCGGCCGCGGGCCTCGGCGTGGAGGAGGCGCGGGTCCCGCTGCAGGAGCTCGTGGACCAGGCCTTGGCATCGCTCGGACGTGTGCATTTTTTCTCGGCGAGGACCATCGAGGAGCATCTTTGATCATTGAGGGAAAAAAACCGCGCGAAATCGAAAAATGTACGGGGAATTTACGTCCGAGCGATGGCGAGAGGCGGTAGGCGAGCCACCCCCGAGGGGGAAGAGGTCACGCAGCTGCGTGAGCCGTGGGCTGCGCTCCCAAGGGGCATGGGGCGCGGTGGTCGACGAAGCATGCAGCCCGTCGGAGGCGGTGCGGTGGGGCGCACCGTGCGCAAGAGCGGCGTACTCCAAGGGAGGAAAAACCACCCGGGCCGGACAGTTGGCGTTTACTGGACGGCTCTGGGCGTTGACTAAACAACCCTGCTCTGTTTGGTTCTTTCTTTGGGCGCGTTCACAAAACGGCTTTGCGTGTCGGGGTGGTTCTTGTCGGGATGGATTTTCTACCCTCTAGTACTGGCGTTTGGATCTAGCACGCGCGGCCAGGCTGTGGAGCTTGGCTGCGAGGCACAGCGGTTGGCCGCGGAGCGGGCCAAGTCGGATCGCCGCCACGCATGCCGACGAGGAGGGACGTTGGTGTTATTGTGGGCCTCCTTTCCCTCCTTCTCCAGCTATTCCTCTTTGTGTGCCTGGGTGTCTCCTGAAGGGCGCCAGCCCCGCGGTTGGATCACCTCGGCAACAATTCCGGGGTCTGTTTGTTTCTATGGACGGGGAAGAAATGATTCCTCCTACCCCTTCAACTCCGTGTTCTCTCCGTCATCCTACTGCTCTTCTGCTGCTGCTTCTAGACAGACTAACCCTTCTTCTGCTCCCTCTCCGCCCCCTGTTCCTCGTGCTTCCCTCCCCCTCCTGAGCCCACTCCTGCTTTCCCTGTTCCTTCTCATCCTGTTCCGCCTCCCTTCTGCACGTTTATCACGGCGATGCTCGTCCTTCTTCCTTTCCTGCTCTCCTGCGCCTCTTCCTGCGTTCCCGCGCCCTGCTGCTCGTGTTCTGCATTGAGACGACCCTCCTCCTGGTGCTATCGTGCATTCGTGCTGGACTGTCCCAGGGGCAAGAGATCGAAGGGCCACGGTCGAGGAACGATCTCCAGCACGGTTCTAGCGGCACTCCCGAGGAAGAGGAGAACGATGCGCGGGAGGCGGATGATCTTCGGGCGGGTGGCATGGGGGGTGGGACCTGAACGGGGGGTGAAGAAGAGGGGCCCTCAAGGGGGGCCCTTTTTCTTGCCCCCCCCAGTCAGGGCGCCCCCCGATTGCCGCCCGCCCGAGGTCTTTGGCAATGTCAGCAGCGGCCCAAAGGCACGGCCCCCCGCCGCAGGCCACCAAGGAGCCCCTCCAGACTCGGAGCCGACGGCGGCAGCAACGAGGGCGGCTGTGGCGGCGACGGAGACGGAGACGGCGGCGCCGGCGGCGACGGCGGCGGCGACGACGGCGGCGTCGGTTGCGACAGAGGCTGTGGCAGCGACGACGGCGGCGACGGATTCGAAACCGCTCGAGGGTCCCGGCTCGGAGACGTGGAGGTCGCCAGCTCTCGCAGCGCGCCGGTTTGTCCGCCGTTTGCGCGTCCGCACCGTGGGAAAGTGCCGTAAGGAGGAGGAGGAGGAGGACGAGGAGGAGGTGGAGGAGGGGGAGGAGGAATTGCTTCCCCACGGGCACTCGATAGCCTCTCCGCTTTTGCTTGGTCCCTGCCCGACGCTTCTTTGGTGTCTTGGCCCCCCGCGACTCCTGCATGCTGATGGGGTAGCACCCGAGCCGCTTCTGAGCTCGCCAGGGGGAGGAGGACGTAAGGGGTAGGAGGACGGGATGTTGGAGGACGTGCGCAAGTCGGACTGGTGGGCCGTACGGAGCAGGAGAAGGACGACGATGAAGAGGGGGAGGAGGAGGAGGAGGAGGAGGAGGAGGAGGAGGAGGAGGAAGTGGAGGACGAGGTGGTATGTTCTGCTCGCGCCCGAGATCGTGACCCCCTTAGGGTCACGTGAGGCCCAGAGGTTTCTCCGGAGGCGTGGAGGGGGGCCCGAACCGTTTCAAAAGTTAACTGAACATATGAGACCATATCCTATCTCGATCCCTGGGGCTCGAGGGCGAGCCTTCGCAGGAGGAAGGGGATGAGAGGGATGAAGAGGAGAAGAGGGAGGGATGATGAAGATAATGCTGATGATGCTGCTGCTGATGATGATGGTGACGACGACGATGGTGATGATGATGGTGATACTGATGATGGTAATGATGATGATGATGATGCTGATAATGATGATGATGATGATGATGATGATGATGATGATGCTGATAATGATGATGATGATGATGATGATGATGATGATGATGATGATGATGATGATGGTGATGATGATGATGATGATGATGATGATGGTGCTGATAATGATGATGATGATGAGGATGATGTTGATGATGATGATGATGATGCTGATGATGATGATGATGATGAAGATGTCGATGATGCTGCTGCTGATGATGGTGCTGATGTTGTTGCTTCTAATTGTGAGGATTGGGGGTGAGGGTGAGGATGCATGATGAGGATGACGATGACGATGATGCTGATGATGATGAGGAGGATGAGGATGATGATGATGATACTGGTAATGAGGATGACGATGACGATTACGATGAGGATACTGATCATGATGAGGATAAGGAGGAGGATGCCGATGACGATGATGCTGCTGCTGATGAGGATGATGATCGCGATGATGAGGCTTATGATGCTGATGCTGATGGTGATGATGACGATGACGATGACGATGATGATGACGACGATAATGATGATGATGATGATGATGACGATGATGATGATGATGATGATGATGATGATGATGCTGATGATGATGATGATGATGATGATGATGATGATGATTGTGATGATGCTGCTGATGCTGATGCTGATGCAGATGCTGATGGTGATGAAGCTGCTGATGATGATGTTGATGATGGTGATGATGATGATTGGGAGGCGGACGATGATGATGATGATGCTGATCCTGATTATGACGATGAGAAGGAGGAGGAGGAAGAGGAGAAGGAGGAGTTGGAGCAGGAGATATCCGTAGGTTGTTTAGCTATCCGTATAGTTACTGTACCTCCTGGGGTAGAGGCCCCCCCGCCGTGTGTCAACACCCGGGGAGGGGGCCTGCAGGCCCGGGAGCGATGAGGGAGGAGCGAGAAGGACTGGGAAGCAGGGCGGAGGGGGGAGGTCGGAGTGATGAGCGCGGGGCGATCAGCGGCGGCGAGCGAGGGGAGGGGGAAGTGAGAAGGAGAGGGACTTCTCGGAAGGCCGGGGGGGCTTCCGAGCCTTCGGAGGAGGTCCGCCCCCGCTCACTTCCCCCCGAGACGTGTAGCCGAGAGCAGGAGGAGGAGGAGGAGGAGGAGGAGAAGAGGAGGGGAGGAGAAGGGGGAGGATGAGGAGGAGGAGGAGGATCAGTGCAAACCCAAGACTCATCAACGATATATTGTTATCAGCCCTCCCTCCAAGTTCCCTCTTCACTAGCCCCTACAAGGACTCATTCTCACTGATTGAAGTGTCCCGTTGGAAAACAATATTTGAAAAACCTTCTCAGCTGAACCAGAACACCATTCCTCGGATTCAACGCCGCGCGTTGCCGCTTTTGCTCTGTCTTGCCGATTCGCAGTCGTGCCAGGAAGCCGTCCGGGGGACTTCGAAACACCACGAATCAACGTAACTGTTCCGCCCTGACAGCCCGACATATTGGCAAAACGCAATGTCTTGGACGTTGTCCATGAGGATAGTGGGCGCGGCTGTGAACTATAGTTCAAAACAATGTGAGCGGCACTAGGGCGAGAGCGACGTTTTGAGAAGGAGCCGCCCTCCATCCGTGAAGCTCTACTCCTGAAGCATTGTCCAACGGATCGGCGCGGCGGCGCTGAGGCGAGAACCACATTTTGAAACCGACCCTCCCTCCGTCCGTGAAGCTGTTGCTAGTCTTTAGAAACGAATGTGCGTGGCGGTCAGGCGAGAGCCACATTTTGACACCGACCCTCCCTCCGTCCGTGAAACTCGTGCTAGCTAAAGAACGAAGGTGCGCGGCGCTCCGGCGAGAGCCACATGGTGAAACAACGACGCGGCCTCCATTCGTGAAGCTATTGCAATGCTTAAGCCTCGGGACAAGCGGTGAGGGAGTCTCGGACGAAACGCCGGGCCCGCCCTTTCGACCGTCCTCGGGGTGCGACAGAGAGGAGTCATTTATATGGAAGAGGGTGTTGGAGGAAAGGGAGGAGGAGGAGGGAGGAGGAGGAGGAGGAGGAGGAGGAGGAGGAGAAGGAGGAGGAGGGGGAGGAGGAGGGGGAAGGAGGAGGAGGAGGAGGAGGAGGAGGAGGAGGAGGAGGGTCGAGGAGGAGGAGGAGGAGGAGGAGGAGGAGGAGGAGGATGAGGAGGAGGAGGAGGAGGGTCGAGGAGGAGGAGGATCGAGGATGAGGAGGAGGAGGAGGAGGAGGAGGAGGGAGGTGGAGGAGGAGGTGGAGGGAGGAGGAGAAGGAGATGGAGGCGGAGGGAGGCGGAGGAGGAGGAGGCGGAGGAGGAGGAGGAGGAGGAGGAGGAGGGAGGAGGAGAGGGAGGAGGGAGGGAGCTCCCCGCTCCGCTTTCCCCCTCCCCTCCGGGGGAATGCCCCCCCTTCCGCTTGGAGAGGTGCCCGCTTTCAGCGCCCGCCACGCCCACCGCGGCAGGGCCGGGCAGGGCTGCATCCTTTTTGCAGTCGTCCGCCCGGAGCGGCCGGGAAGGGCCCCGCCGCCCCAGAGGGCCCCGCGGCGGGGGCCCGGTCGGGCCGCGGGCCTCGCCGCTCGTGAGGGGGGCCGGAGCGCGGAGCGAGGAGCGAGGATGAGGAGCCAGGAGGAGGAGGATGGAGGATCGAGCAGGAGGAGGAGGAGGAGGAGGAGGAGGAGGAGGAGGAGGAGGAGGAGGAGGCTCGAGGAGGGAGGCGGAGGAGGAGGCTCGAGGAGGAGCGGGATCGAGGAGGAGGATCGAGGGGGAGGATCGAGGCTCGAGGAGGAGGAGGAGGAGGAGGAGGAGGAGGAGGCTCGAGAAGGAGGCGGAGGAGGCGCGAGGAGGACGCAGGAGAGGGGAGGAGGAGGACAGGGGAAGGGGCAGGGAGGGGCGCGCCCTGCCCCGCCTCGCGCGCCGACGGGGGTGGGCGGGCGGGGCGGGGCGGGGGCGCGCCCTCCCCCGCGGTCGGACCCTCCCCTAAGCCGAGGCGGCACGGCCGGCTCTCCGTGCAGAACGGCACCATCCGAGGCCGCGGGCCGCGCGCCCGAGCCCGCGGCTGCCGCGCGCGCGGGCGGGGGTCGCGCAGACCGGTCGGGGCGCTGCAGAAGGAAGCCTGTTCGTGGGGGAGGGGCTCAGTGCTCCGCGAGTGTTGCATAAAGTTTGCCTCGGGGCGCTGCAGAAGGAGCCCTTCTCGTGGGGGAGGGACTCGGCGCTCCTCGATTGGTTCAAAGTGTGCCTCGGGTGTTCCCGAGGTTTTTTTCCGTGGGAGATCGAGGTTGAGCTTATGGGACAAAGGGGTCTGGTTCCTTAATTAGGGTTCGCGCAGGAAGTCGGGGCGCTGCAGAAGGGACCCTTGTCGTGTGGGGAGGGGCTCGGGGCTCCTCGATTGGTTCAAAGTCTGCCTCGGGTGTTCCTGAGGTTTTCCGTGGGCTTCCGCGCGGGCACGGGTCACGCACACGGTCGGGGCGCTGCAGAAGGAGAACCCTTTTCGTTTGGGGAGGGGCTCGGTGCTCCCCGATGGTTTCAGAGTTTGCCTCGGGCGTTCCTGAGGTTTTTTCCGTGGGAGATCGACGGCGAACTCGTGGGAAAAAGGGGGGTCTCGTTCCTTGATTGGGGTTCCTTGGGTCAACGCCACGACTGTTAGGGGAGGAGCGGGGCTTCGGGCGGGGGGGGGGGCGCGGAGCCTCCCCCCGGACCCCCTCGCGCAGGGAGCAAAACAGGCGGCACGAGGTGCTGCGCCGTCGGCAGCCTCCGGGGGGGGGCCCTTCCCGGGCCTCGCGACCGTCACACACCGAGTCGGGACCAACAACGGATGCCATGGGGAAGGGGTCAGACCTCACCAGCACCATTACCATCGTCATCATCATCGTCATCATCATCATCAGCAGCAGCATCAGCATCAGCATCATCATCATTATCATCATCATCCTCATCATCATTAGCATCATCATCATCATCATTATCATCATCATCATCATCATCATCAGCAGCATCAGCATCAGCATCAGCATCAGCATCAGCATCATCAGCATCAGCATCAGCATCGGCATCGGCATCGGCATCCGCGTCAGCGTCAGCGTCAGCATCAGCATCAGCCAGACCTCTGGGCGTCCACGGCATGAAGAAATCCCGACGTCGGGGGCATGGGTCCGAGGGTCGGCGTTGCGAGGGGGCTTCTTGGCCGTACTTCCAGGGCTCGCGCTTGATCTCAGCGGTAGCGCGACAGGCGGCACTGGGAGGACCTGAGGAAGACGAAGCCCGACCGAGCTAGAGATTGGACATGTCTCAGGCGGGTCGCCACAAACAGAGGGACCGCATCGCCAGGGGAATCCTCCTTGCCTCCTCTCGATGGTGGTGGTGGGGGTGGTGTCGTTTCCTCTGCCGCCGAGCAGGAGTCGAGGGTCGATGACCGAGGTGTTTTGCCCGATCTGGCCGTAGGCTACGGCTCGCTCTTGATTTCAGCGTTATCGCGACCTGGAGGTGCAGGGATGATGGAGGATCCAGGTTGCAGGGTCGATGAGTTTTCTGCGGCCCGACCTCTCACTTCCCATGCGGCCCTCTACCTTCGCCTCTGCAGCTCCGCAGCAGTCAACTCTGTGATGGGGAAGGGCATGGCAGCTTGGTGGGAAGGGTGCAGCGCCAAGAACTTCGCGCGGCCGCCGCCACGGAAGGCGCAGACCTCGCCCCCGCGCCACACGGACCCCTCCCCCCCCGAGGCGGCCACCAGTCCCCAGCCTTCGGAACCCTGTCCGTCAGTCGGGTATGTCCCGGCACAGGAGGGATACTTGCAAACAGTGAAGACATTCATAGGACGATGTTTCGATTTTTTCCCCACATCCTGAGTGGGGTTCTTGTTTTCCCAGAACACCCTCTCCTTCCCACCCACCTCCCGCTCCATCTTCCATACAGCACAATATTATTCCTACCACACACACCATACCATACCATAGTTCCTACCACACATACCATACCATACCATACCATACCATACCACACCATACGTACCATACCGTACCATACCATACCATGGCGTACCATAGCATACCATACCATATCACACCAATGCCACACCGTACCATACCATACCATACCTCCAGTACCATACCATACCATATCATACCATACCGTACCATACCATACCTACCATACCATTCCATACCACTCCATACCGAAAACCATACTACTTACATGGTTTCGTGCCCCTCCCACCCCTCCAGGGAGGCCCCGCCTGAGCGAGGAGGGTATCGGAACACGATACTATTTACAGCCCCGCCTGAGCGAGGAGGGTATCGGAATACCATACTATTTACATGGTTTCGTGCCCCTCCCACCCCTCCAGGGAGGCCCCGCCTGAGCGAGGAGGGTATCGGAATACCATACTATTTACATGGTTTCGTGCCCCTCCCACCCCTCCAGGGAGGCCCCGCCTGAGCGAGGAGGGTATCGGAAAACCATACTATTTACATGGTTTCGTGCCCCTCCCACCTCTCCAGGGAGGCCCCGCCTGAGCGAGGAGGGTATCCGAAAACCATACTATTTACATGGTTTCGTGCCCCTCCCACCCCTGCAGGGAGGCCCCGCCTGAGCGAGGAGGGTATCCGAAAACCATACTATTTACATGGTTTCGTGCCCCATCCCACCTCTCCAGGGAGGCAAAACCATACTATGTACATGGTTTCGTGCCCCTCCCACACCTCCAGGGAGGCCCCGCCTGAGCGAGGAGGGTATCCGAAAACCATACTATTTACATGGTTTCGTGCCCCTCCCACCTCTCCAGGGAGGCCCCGCCTGAGCGAGGAGGGTATCCGAAAACCATACTATTTACATGGTTTCGTGCCCCTCCCACCTCTCCAGGGAGGCCCGCCTGAGCGAGGAGGGTATCCGAAAATCATACCATTTCCCCACATCCTGAGTGGGGTTCTTGTTTTCCCAGAACACCCTCTCCTTCCCACCCACCTCCCGCTCCATCTTCCATACAGCACAATATTATTCCTACCACACACACCATACCATACCATAGTTCCTACCACACATACCATACCATACCATACCATACCACACCATACGTACCATACCGTACCATACCATACCATGGCGTACCATAGCATACCATACCATATCACACCAATGCCACACCGTACCATACCATACCATACCTCCAGTACCATACCATACCATTACCATTCCTACCATATACCATTCCATACCACTCCATACCGAAAACCATACTACTTACATTGTTCGTGCCCCTCCCACCCCTCCAGGGATGCCCCGCCTGAGCGAGGAGGGTATCGGATACCATACTATTTACATGGTTTCGTGCCCCTCCCACCCCTCCAGGGAGGCCCCGCCTGAGCGAGGAGGGTATCGGAAACCATACTATTTACATGGTTTCGTGCCCCTCCCACCCCTCCAGGGAGGCCCCGCCTGAGCGAGGAGGGTATCCGAAAACCATACTATTTACATGGTTTCGTGCCCCTCCCACCCCTCCAGGGAGGCCCCGCCTGAGCGAGGAGGGTATCGGAAAACCATACTATTTACATGGTTTCGTGCCCCTCCCACCCCTCCAGGGAGGCCCCGCCTGAGCGAGGAGGGTATCCGAATACCATACTATTTACATGGTTTCGTGCCCCTCCCACCCTCCAGGGAGGCCCCGCCTGAGCGAGGAGGGTATCCGAAACCATACTATTTACATGGATTCGTGCCCCTCCCACCCTCCAGGGAGGCCCCGCCTGAGCGAGGAGGGTATCGGAAAACCATACTATTTACATGGTTTCGTGCCCCTCCCACCCCCTCCAGGGAGGCCCCGCCTGAGCGAGGAGGGTATCGGAAACCATACTATTTACATGGTTTCGTGCCCCTCCCACCCCTCCACCCCTCCAGGGAGGCCCCGCCTGAGCGAGGAGGGTATCGGAAAACCATACTATTTACATGGTTTCGTGCCCCTCCCACCCTTCCAGGGAGGCCCCGCCTGAGCGAGGAGGGTATCGGAAAACCATACTATTTACATGGTTTCGTGCCCCTCCACACCCCTCCAGGGAGGCCCCGCCTGAGCGAGGAGGGTATCCGAAAACCATACTATTTACATGGTTTCGTGCCCCTCCCACCCTCCAGGGAGGCCCCGCCTGAGCGAGGAGGGTATCCGAAAACCATACTATTTACATGGTTTCGTGCCCCTCCCACCCCTCCAGGGAGGCCCCGCCTGAGCGAGGAGGGTATCCGAAAACCATACTATTTACATGGTTTCGTGCCCCATCCCACCTCTCCAGGGAGGCAAAACCATACTATTTACATGGTTCCGTGCCCCTCCCACACCTCCAGGGCACAAAACCTCTAGGGCTTGCAGCGCTTAACGCCGTGTGCACAAAACCATAATGCAGCGATACATTGTTTGGGGGATTATTGGCAGTCTTTTAAACCGCTCTTGGCCGATCAGTGTCTGCGTTCGAATTGTAGTTACCAGACACCTCGGCAAGTGCTTTCGTCTAGCGAACTCGTGTCGCCCACCCTCTTGTATAACCTCGACTGGACGAGGGAAATGAGACCACTCAGACCAACCTCACGAATCGGACCTCACGAGGAAAATGAGACCACTCAAACCAACCTCCCGCTGCTGCTCCTGCTGCGGTTCCTGCTGCTGCTCTTCGCCATCATCCATCTTATCCTCTTCCTCCTCCTCCTCCTCCTCCTCCTCCTCCTCCTCCTCTTCCTGGAGGGTATCGGAAAACATGGTGTTTACACGGTTTCGTGTCCCCCCTCCACTCCTCCAGAGAGGCCGCGCTTGAACGAGGAGGGTCGCGGAAAGCATTACTCTTCGCCAGGTTTCGTAGCCCTCCCCCCTTCCAGCGGGGCCCCGCCAAAGCGAGGAGGGCATCAAGAAAATGGGTCCCACGAAACCGTTAATCTCTTTATGTGGGGAACTCCGTTAGCATTTTTTTGATTGTTGTCTTATTCCCCAATCAGAGCTTGCTTCTGTAGGGGTCCTAGCGGATATAAAGCTGAGGTGAGGTCGGCGGCCGATTTCGGTGGCCGGGGCCGGGTGCCCGGGTGCCCGGGGGTGCCCGGGTGGCCGATTTCGGTGGCCGGGCCCGGGTGCCCGGGTGCCCGGGTGCCCGGGGGTGCCCGGGTGCCCGGGGTGCCCGGGTGCCCGGGTGTGCCCAATAGCCCAATAGCCCAGTAGCCCTATAGCCCGATAGCCCTATAGCCGTATAGCCCTATAGCCCTGTAGCCTTATAGCCTTATATCCCTATAGCCCTAATAGCCTTATATCCCTATAGCCCTATAGCCCCATAGCCCATATAGCTCTATAGCCCCATAGCCCTATAGCCCTATGGCCCTATGGCCCTATAGGTCACAGTCCTATAGCCCTATAGCCCGATAGCCCTATAGCCCGATAGCCCTATAGCCCAATAGCCCTATAGCCCTATGGCCCGCCCTCGCGCCTTCCCCGCCCCTGCGGGCGAGCGCCACGGCGCCCACGCTGCCCGTCGCCGGTCTGCCGCACCCGCGCCGGCGAGAGGATCGGGGGCCCCCGCACGGGGTGGTGGCCACACCGTGCGGTGAGGCGGCGAGGATTGGTGGGTCACCGCACGGTCGTGGGACTCGGGTCGTGTTCCGAGGACGTCTCGGGCGACCTCCGAGGTCCCAAGGCCGTGCGGTGAGGGTGCGGTGAGGTCTTGGGGGATTTCGGGGTGACCGCACGGTCTCTCACCGCACCGTTTCGGGACTCCAGAGATTTGTCGCGGCCCTCCGTCGTCGCCGACCCGTCGCCGCCGTCCTTCCCCCTCTGTCGTGACGATCGCGGTCTGCTGCCCGACTCTGGAGGCCAAGAGCGAAACGCGAATAGGAGGAGGAGGAGGAGGAGGAGGAGGAGGAGGAGGAGGAGGAGGAGGAGGAGGAGGAGGAGGAGGAGATTCGCTCAGTGTATGGCCAATGTCAAGAAATCCGGAAGAGGAGGAGGAGGAGGGAGGAGGAGGAGGAGGAGGAGGAGGAAGAGGACAAGGAGCAGGAGGAGCAGGAGGAGGAGGAGGAGCAGGAGGAGGAGGAAGAGGATGAGGATGAGGAGGAGCAGGAGGAGGGAGGAGGAGGAAGGAGGAGGAGGAGGAGCAGGAGGAGGAGGAGAAGGAGGAGGAGGCGACGGAGGAGGAGGCGGGGGAGCAAGAGGGCCACGAGGGCACCGGGCGGGCGGCCCGCACGGCGCAGGCGAGCGCG